GGTCTGTCTCTCGAACGGGAGTTCGCCGCGAACATGTGACGCCGGCTAATGGATATGCCGTCACACGCACACAGAACGAGAACAAAGAACCCTGAGGCGGGGTGCGGGAGGGGGTGCATGGTGAGCCGAATTCAGGGCAGCGCCCGTACACTGGTCTCTGCTGGTAGTTAAGAAAGTACACTCTGGAGCGCGAGCTTTGTGCAGAACAGTGATGCAATTTTTACAATTAACGACTCAGACGCGGATGAAGGTGCAACTACTGAGTCAAGTTCGAACATCAACACTAAATGGGTGATCTGCTAATCATAGTACGCACGTGACAATAGGAAGAGTGCTTCCTATAAATACTGCACCCCGGCGCCCTCCTCCTCCTCCTTCTTCTTCTTCTTCTTCTTCTTCTTCTTCTTCTTCTGAATTATTTCCTGGGACTGGCACCCTCCACTTATATCAGCTATAATAGGAAGCTGTTATGTTATTTCTTTAGGTAGTTGACATGGGAGAACGCCTGGGCTCTCATCCGGTCAATGTGACTTGGCTGGATTGAACTAGTTGTGGTGTAACTTACCCTGCGTTTACGAATAGGTAATTGATAAACTGTGACGGGGGAGCTATGCTGGAAAAATGGTATCATGGTATAAACACTACGACAAACTCTGAAAGAAAATCGGCTTTCTGCATAAATCGTAAAAAAATGTTGTTGTTACATTTTAAGTTTGCGAGATGGTAACGATTATTTAGAGTACTTCTCATGAATGTATATAATCCCTTGGGTTTTTGTAGTGCCCCTTTTAGGACCATCGGTTCGTATGAGCTTTTTGTCTAAAGTTTGTTGTTTTCTAAATTTCTTACGTTGTCCGGGCTTTCCGTTCGTATAAGTAGTTCTTGCAGATGACGTTTTCGGAACCCCTTTCGTTAATGCCGTTGTCATTCGCGTTGTCGGCTTCTGGTCACATACTACTTAAGAAAGCAGTATAGCCAAATTATTTTTTTCCATAGTAAATTCAAAGGTACGCCAAAATCTCCTCGTAACACTAGCGTCCATAGTGCATGTCCAAATGCCCATTAGATTGCCTCAACTTTACACCACCAGACATTTTTTAACTACCTTGAACTTTGTTCGGAGACAGCTATGAGTGTTGATTCCATCATGAATGTCATGTAATAGAAAGAACCTAGGACATATCTACATTTGTTTCATGAATACTATTCTCCCTCTCGGTAAAAAGTAAACACAGAAAACGTTACTTCTGCTCTGCACGTATTCGCATGGTCGTTCGGAATTGCTGAACGAATAATTCATTGAGTGCTATGTACGAAAATGTTTGGTCGATTTCTTGTCTACAATCCCTAACTGACATAAGATCCAACTTAACCAGCAGTAGATGAAAACCTACAAGTATCAATTATCCTGCTTCTTGATTTATCATTGGTTGACTCACGAACTCCGTGCAGCATGAGCTGTCTAAAGGATGCACATCTAGGTGGTTTTGTGAAATACAGTAGTCGCCGGCTATTAAGCCCACATCGGTCCCAGACCAAATTGGGCTTAATAAGCGGCGGGCGCAATAACCGGAGAGTCCT